GCTGGCAGAAGGGGAGGAGTGGGGTTAGACCTGACTGGGGAAGGCTGTGTTCTGCACCTGTTGCTGAAACGTGCTGGGGTATGGTAGCTGAGAGGAGGGTCACGTGGAAGTGGCCACACAGGAAGCCTCATGCCGTGACCCTCAACAAGAGCCAATAAGAGGGAAACCAGCTTTATTTTTATATTCAAAACGTTGTGGTATTTTATGCTTTCCTGGGGTTTGTCTGCGAATAGTAAAACTCACTAAAATGCAGTGTTCACTTTCTGTATTGTAATTTATTTACTTTATTTAGGACTAAAGCAAACTTTTTTGGCAAAGGTCAGAGTAGAGAAAACTAAAACAAGTGTTATACTTTAGAGCGGGGACCTCAGTTGATCTGTCCTTGCTGTGCACACAAATGTGTTTCCCATACCAACTGCTGCAATATTGGACAAGCTTTACAGAGCATTTAGTCTGACGAGAAACTACAGCGCACAGCACAGAAACCCACATTTAGAGGTTGTTAGTAATTTAAAATGCTGTTTATTTCAAATGCATTTAAAATCAGATGTAGTTTTTTGTTGCTTATGTTCACATGATGGCAAATTAAATGTTTCAGACCTGCCTAGTTTCAATTAGCTGCAAGCGCATGGGGAAATACACCACTTTTTCAAAATTTGTACATAAATCAGTCACTGGTTTGATATAAAATGGTGCATTCTAGAAAAAAAATTACTATTTTTTTAAAAATATGTTTTAGGCTAAAATCTTATCTCAGAACTTTCATAAAACAATGCTTCAGGCAGCGTATTCATAATCATTTCATGTATCAACTGTCTGTGAGGGAGTTTTTAGAGACATTAAATGCTTTAAATGTCTGGCTCTCATCACCAACACAGAGTAATTCTGACTTACGTTTCTCCAGAATGTTGCATTTCATGTCAAAGCACTCTGAATGAATTTGTTTAAGATCCTAGTAATGTAATTATGCAGAAATTTCAGTACATTTTGGAAAAATCTGTGGAATTCCCATCTAAACTAACTGCGTTATGCAGCGACTCTAATCAAAGTGCGGTGCAGTTTCTTATTAGGTTAAATGGGATTTTTTCACAACAGTGTGTAAAGCTTGTCCAACCTCCCAACAGTTGCAAGGAATGAACACATGGGTAGATCTATTACAGCCCCGAGGGGCTAGAATCCAGTACAGTTAACAGTTAAATGAGTTAAAGGGCCCATGTTTTACAATTTTCTTGTATTTTATTTTTGCCTTAAGGTCCACTCATAACATTTGTGTGGCTGCATGTACCGAAAATGAACACAATTCATTTTACATGACCGTTCTCCCACTTCCCATTTATCCTGTAGAATAAATAAGCTGTTTTTTGTTATTATGCCTTTTAGACTGACATAAGATAAATGAGCTCTGTTTTGATTGGCTGTCCTCTGTTGTGCCTCATTCACAGAGGACTCAGTGCCGAAGCACTCCTTACAAGTTCAGCATGAATGGGTGGATCTAAACTGCTGTAGGCTGAATATGTAGATATATGTAAATGAGCTGGTTTTTGTGACATCACAGAAACAATGAATTCAAAATGGGTTGTTTTTGCAGCATGGTGTCCATATATAGGCTGTATGGACTGGGTAGTGAATAGTATGTTTTGAAACTTTGGCAGTGTTTCAATATTACTTCAAACCGCTTTATTTAAAAAAGAAGTGAGGGAAATTTGGTTTTCCATGGTGTTGGCCCTTTAATTCAGGTGTGTTTGAGTAGGGAAGTCACTTAACTGTGCTGGACTTTTTCCAGGACTGGGATTGAGGACCCCTGCTTTAGAAATATGGTGCAGTGTTTAACGGGAAAGGTCTATCCTCAAAGGATATAATAGAGCAAGTCGTGTTACCCAGTTAAACAAAACTGCACTGTTGATGCTCCCATTTGATACTGGCACTTGGAGTTATATTCAGTAATAGCCTCTTTAGCATCTCTGTTGTCTCCCTGTGTAATAGCGAAAGGAGTTGTTGTCACCAGACCATGTGTGACGCTCTGTTCAGCTGGATTACTCGCTCTGTCAGTAATGCGAGGGCGGAATGTGTTGGAGCGGTCGGCATGCCGGGCATAACTGAAAGCCCGTGCCGGTGATGTCATGCGCCGGCTCTCCTGACTCATCATTAGTTTAATTGAGCTTTTGCATCACAGGGCATGGAGAGGCCCTCAGCCTCCTCTTCATCTGTCTAGAGCTGCGTCTCCCTTTAATCCTGAGCTAAAGCTGCCTAATGCTGCTGCACAGCACACACACATACACCCCATTCCAACCTGTTACCTCGTGTACTTCCACGGGTACCATTTAGGGATCTGCGTTCTGACTAATTTTGTCACTGAAGCATCTATAATAAGTGAATGCATATTCATTGTAGCAATGGGAAAAGGAAAAAAGGACATTTGCACATGGTGCACATTTGTCCAAAGTAATATAGAGAAATAATTAATTGAAATATTAAATATATGTCAGCACATATCCACATACAGTAAGGTCCAAAAGTCTGAGACCACAGTGAAAATCTTGAAAAGGTTATGACCAGTAAAATGTTCAGTGTTTTGGGCTATTTATACTGTTCAAAATTTAAGCAAATATTTGACCATGTTAAGGTCTTTGTGCAAAAAAGTCTGTTGAAGCTCGTGTTCAGACAACTTGTCAGAGTTTTTGCACAAACTTCTGGAGATCAGGCCAGCATGTTTGCCGGCTGTCATTAAAGCAAAAGGTGGACCAAATACTAAGAAATTCAGAAATTTGTGTTAAATTTCAGAGATTTTACTCAAACTCTTATTCTGATAATATTGTTTATAATGAAAACTGTTATATTAAATTAGAAAAAAAATGCAAAATATAAGCATTTTTCACCAGCAGTCTCAGACTTTTGTATCCCACTGTATAACCACATAAGATTTTTAAGACTTTCCTTTATCAAAATTATATTTTCCCCCTTATTCCCCTGATTTTATGTGATGTAACAAATACCCAGATAGTGATTTCAAACAGTGGCATCTGGAACAGTTAATTTCAGGCACATGCACAAACAAGTGGTAGATGTTTACCATCTTAAAAACCTTCCATTATCACTCTGCTTTTGAGTCCTCTCCAGTGGTTTCTGAGTGCAGCCTGTGGAGAGATACATGCTGCACTCTTCCATTCATCTCTTCTCTCCTCTCCTTTCTTCTCTTCTCTTCTCTTCTCTTCTCTTCTCTTCTCTTCTCTTCTCTTTTCTTCTCTTCTCTTCTCTACTCTTCTCTTTTGCCCTGTTTTCCTGTCTTCTCTTTTCTCTTTTGCCAGATTGTATTCTCTCTTCTCTTTTTCTACACTCTCTTTTCTTTTCACATCTCTTCTCTCATTTAACATCCCATCTTTTTTTGTTTCTCCTCTCCTTTGCTCTCCTCCCCTTCCCCTCCTCTCCTTTTTTTCATCTTTTATTTTCTCTTTTCATCTCTCCTGCTCTATCTTCTCCTTTTGCACATCTATCTGTCTGCCTGAGTGTCTATCTGTATGTCTGTCTATCTATCCAACCACTCATCCAGACCTTTCCCCTCTGTTCCAGCAGCGGTAGCCTTTTGTGCACTCGCACTAGTGAGCACTCTTTTCCTGATGAGCATGAATCACCAGCCAGTGCTCGCATCTGTTCACTACTCACACTAAAAAAAACCTAATCAGGGAAAACAAACGATTACCGTTGGGCTTTTTCAATCAACGGTGCTGGCGAGCTGGCTTGGGGGGTGGGGGGGAGCGGTGGGCGGTGGAGATAATTAGACAGGGTTAAAAATAACCCTGCTCATTGTTTCTGCTGTCCCACATCCTCTACTGCTGCGCACACAGCTATCGCCACACACATCAGCTGGGAGCTGGAAGAGCGGAACGTATGCTGTACGGACAGTCAGGTGCTGAGGCCCCATTCATGGTCAGCTGCTGGCTAAAAAACATCCTTTAAAACGATCACTGTCTGAAATATTGGTAGATTGTTTTTAGGGCGTCGTGCCTCATTTCAGTTCTTAGTGATGATTATAGGAGGCTTGTAATTGGTAGCAATTATAAGGGCCTTAATTTGCAAAGCAGTATATAACAAATAATAATTACTTCTTTTTGAAAGGTAATTTTCACAATCACATGCTGTGATGGTCACATAAAGACAAATGCTATCATTTATAAGCTTTAGTTAACCCTTAGAAGTCAGTTACTTTTGTTTTGCTATACTATTCAAGTGGAATTACATATATAGTGTGCTACATTATGGGTTTACATTCCATTCATGTTCTGCATCAACAGGGTCAAGTCTGCACTTCTGACTTTTTCCCTTTGTTCCGTCAGAAAATGGCAAAAACACAGAAAAATGACAAAAACCAGAGGCTGAACACACAACATTAACAATTCAAATCATAATAAAATATCTCCTTTTCTGCTGAATACAAATGTGGTACCAGTTGCAAGTTTCGAATTAACACTTATGACAGTATCTCTTTGTTTTAATGAGCTGCAAGTGAGAAATATTTCTTTTTTAATATTTAATATTAAATAAAAGACAAATCTAATTGTTTATACGCTTTAGTTGACTCTTAGATGTTACTTTTGTTTTGCTATACTTAGTTGCTATTTCTTGTTATTTAATTACATAATGTGTTACACAATGAATTATGAACGTATTTGATTTACATTCTGTGTCAACACATTAGAGTCTCCACCTCATGGAACATGGGAAAAAAACAAATTGACAATAAACAAAGACTGAACCCACAACAACAGTTGAAATCTTAATAAAATATTTCTGCTTCTGTTTGTGAACATAAGTATGGTCTTTATTTTAATTTAGAATTCACACTTTCGACAGCAACTCCTTTTGTCTCGATGAGCTACGAGTAAAAAATATTTCATTTTGAATTACACCGTAGTTCTGTTATCACCTCTGATAACTGACATTTTCTGTTCCAGCTTGCTCATAAGTGCTGAATGTGATTTTAATTGCTTTTCCTGTCTCTGCAGCCTTCACTTCCTGTCCTCTACACCCTGTCCAGTCAGGCCACCCATGAGGCAGTTCACCTGCTCTGTCGGATGCTGGTCTTTGACCCGGTAAGTGCTCTGATCAGGCCTTCTTAAGGATGCATCGATAACGATACTGGTATCGGGTATCAGCCCAATACCATGGTCATTACTTGTACTCAGCCTCATAAAAGGACACTGATACCAATGATCAGTACCAGCTGAGACCATGTCATGTAAGCCAAGTGTACCCTGCCACGCTAATAAACAGATGACTCAAGCTGGCAGTGAAGGAGGCTCTGCTCGCTCGGATTTACTGACTCTGTGGTGCGCAAGTTGTTGATCACTTTAAACATTCTGCCCTGGTGAATTCCCGCCAGGAATACACTGTGTGATTTTAGGCCATTTTTAAACACACACAAACACAATCACGACTGCTTCTCCAGTACGGTTGAAGACACATAGGCTGGCAAAACGGAGGTGAAAAAGTCAACATTTGCTAACCTACCAAGGTCCATGTCTGCCAACTTTACTCTTTTTGACCGAATATAATAGCAAGGTATAAAAATTAAGATGTTGATTTTTTAAAAACTATCTTCATAAAATAGGCTTTAGACTGACCGTATTGTCCTGCTGTGTATATTTCAGTGCATATTGTGGTTAGCAGAGCTGCTGTAGTTCAGTTTGCACAGTCCTCAGTGCGCAGGGTGAAACTGCTTTATTTGAAATTGTTCATAGATAGATGTGGCTATAGAGGTGGCGTTTCACGTAGCATGGACTGAGCATTTTCATACAGTGCGAGTACATAAACTGTTGGCTTTGTCTGTACATAACAGTCTATTCAAACTTACAGTGACTCATCCAAAAGCAAGATTTGTAAAATTGCACAGTGTATGTCTGGATTTAGAGGACATTTAACTACAGCTCAATCAACTGAAAAGACTTGTGATTCCTGCCGTCACTGAGCTACAGAGACTGTTGTTGAAAGAGACAGACGAGGAGCACAGGATCAAAACTATAAAACATACTTTTGCACTCACTATTGCACTTGTTTTGAAACAAAGATTATACTTCTCTGTTGGAGAAGCTGTATCAGATAGATTTTAATGATATAATTGCGAATCACTTACTCTAACAACTACTTCATTCTAAGTTGGCAATTCATTATGGTATCAGACTCGGTGTCAGCAAGTACTAAAAAATATGCACTCAGTCTGAAAGAAAATGGTATCGATGCATCCCTAAGCTTCACTTAGCAGCCCATCATAATATATGACTATTCATTTGTAATTTAAATGTCCCTTTGGGTAGTAACATAAATTAACTTATTGCTTTTATAGAATCATAATGGAGATGTCAATACCTGTTTATCACAAAAATAGGTAGAAATGTGTAGGTGTTGTATAAGTTAACTGCACAGTAAAACAAACAAAATAAAGTCTATGTCAAGTTTCAAAGGGTTCACTGAACTGGAGCATTTTGTATTCTAGTGTTGCACAGCAAAATAGCTTATTGTCAGTTGTCAACCTTGACTCTGCTTTTATTATTTTACTCCATTTAAAAGTGTCAGCTGCCCTTTTTGCATTGTATAAAAACATTCAATAACAAACAGACCAGTAGACATTTCGAAAAGCAACCCTGTCATTGTTTTAGTTTAACATGTTAGGTTTTTTTCTCTTACTGTTACAAATTATATTTCTGGACATACAAGGTTTTTTTACAATAGAAATGCTGTTATGCTTATGCTTGTGCATGTCAAATAGCATGTTTTGTTGATTTTCTGTTCCGAGTAGAAGATGCTAAATTATTTAGTGATGGTAAGTTACCATGTTATGCAACCTACTTTTGCAAATGATAATGCACAACTACTGATTATTTCCTGAATTTATTGATACAGTTTACATTCGTTTATTGATTAAAAAAATACATGCAATGCAGCATGTGCAGAAGTTTGTTTATTTTTTTAAAAAAATGCTAATTCCACAAATAAATACAAATTATGCACTGAATTATGCAGAAAATGCTATAATTATGTTTATTCCCTGTAGAGGGTGTGTACATATACTTGCAACTAGAAATTGCAACTTACTGACTTACTTGCGATTAGAAAATTAATAAAACATGCAATTTGGTGCCCAAACTTCTGCATAAGCCTGTATGTTTTAGAGAAACTATAACGTTATCTATTCACATTAAAAAATGTTCCTATCTGCAGTCAAAGAGGATCTCAGCGAAGGATGCTCTTGCACACCCGTACCTGGATGAGGGGCGTCTACGCTACCACACCTGCATGTGCAAGTGCTGCTACACCACCTCCTCCGGCCGTGTGTACACCAGCGATTTTGAACCCGTCACCAACCCCAAGTTTGACGACGGCTTCGAGAAGAATCTAACATCGGTCCGGCAGGTCAAAGGTACATCTGTTTACTGACCACCAGGGCTGATAGTGGTGTGTCTGTTCTTCCTTTTCTTTTGTTTGTTTGTCTCTTTCTTTCTTTCTTTCTTTCTCATTAGATTCTAACAGATCTGAGCATGTGTCCAGCAAGCGTTAACCAGTGGCTCTGGCCCTGCGCTGGGCTGCTGGTGTTTTCATCTTGTTTTCACTATCCACTCTTTGGGGCCTCTCCGTAAGTGCTGGCTTTCCACTCTCAGAAGCTCTTAGAGATAGCCTGTCAGCTAAAGGCAGGCTTACCGCGCAGCCAGCTTGAAATAGCCCTGCCCTTCCTCCTCCCTCATCTTCCTCTTGCCTTGTGTTCACCTTGTTTCCACTGGAGGATTAGCCAGTGTGGACGTAAACCTCCTGGAGATTGAAAGCACATTAAGCCATGTTTGGAACAGTGGGGGGATCCTCAGGCTTACAATCATGAGGAAGTTTGTCAGTTCTTTTCCTTCATGGAAGGCTGCATGAAGTATAGATCTGAAGACTCCTAGGGTTCTTAAATTGATACTTTTCCATAGTTCTGTGCACATGACATTAAATGTGGTGAAAAAAAAGCAACAGAACATTTTGAAAGGTACACAGGATTGAAAATATACTCCTTGTGCTTTTAGCCTGTCAATATGAGCTTTTCAGCCCAACATTCATGGGATTGTTCTTGATTATTCAGCTTAGTGTTTAGGAACAAGATACATTTGTTATTATGCCTGGTAGATTATATAGCAGTTTGATACTATGAAGATCACCAATATAGGCCTGGAGCCTAGAAAGTGTGCAGTTGATGAGTACACATTTTTCACATAAGCTCCATTCTTCTTTGTCTTCCTCCTCACACAGAGATCATTCATCAGTTCATCCTGGAGCAGCAGAAGGGGAATCGGGTACCTCTCTGTATTAATCCTCAGTCTGCCGCCTTCAAAAGCTTTATCAGGTAAGCGGGGTGCAGCTCAGTTCCTCTCCAGAAGGGGGCACCACATCCACCTTGTTACTGTAATAGTCCTTGCTGATGTACCTCGTCTAAAAGTCACTAACAGTCTATTTTTATGTTGACCAATCAAAATTACAGTTTAACCGAAAACAGTAGGTGTTTGTTCAGAATGAGACAAACCTCATTATTATAAATAAATAAGTAAATAAACAAATAAATAAATGAAAGACCATCACTGCCATACATGTACTGGAAGCATAAACACGACTCATGCAAGTTACTCAGCTCTAAATGTGGTTCATTAAATTTGAATGCATAAATGCCAGAGTAATCATGAAAAAATCACAAGCATATTGAATTTATGTTGGTCATTATTGCTTCTGTGTGTAAGTGAATTTAGATTTTTTCGTATTATCAGTTCCAAGTTTTGGGAATCTCAGTTTCAAGTTCCAAAACAGGCACTGCTACTTAAGTCAGTGTGATTTGGAAATCAACTCATTTTCTTTCCGTATCATGTCAGATTTTCGAGTGAAGCTCAGTACCAGAGAGGACCTCTGTGCTAGCTGAGCATGTTTGAGGGTGGTGGGATGGGGAGGTGAAATATGATTTTATAGGTTAATATTACTGTTCCCTGCCTGCAGGTGTATGGAGTTATAATAAAAACTCTAATTTTGCTTTATATGACTAGGCACATATGCTAACAAGGTGATTTCAAGTTGACTTTAAGGTAGTTGAATGGAGGTAAAGGAACAGCAGATTTAGGCTGAACAAGGGTCAGAGAAGCCAAGAAAAAAATAACTTAGGTCAACCTCTTTATGAAGTATATTTATGAAGTAGATTCTATCATGTGCAGTCGTATGTGAAAGTTTGGGCACCCAAGTGATGTTACTGCTGTCTACTTGCTGAATTTAACATATTGGAAAATACACGAAAAGAAGAAAACCTAAATTGTGGCCTGAGCAGAAGTTTTATGTTTTATATATTTTTCAGTGTGTTAAACTCAAATAAATAGAAACTGCGCACTAAACTTGTACACAAATGCCATATTTACGTGTGTTTCCTGTAGAGAATTTGTCAACTTATTTTCACTTAGAAAATCAACAAAATGTGTGATTTGACTGCGGGTGTTTAGACTTATTTATTTATTTATTTATTTATTTAAGTTCTGCTTATTAGTCCCACAATGGCCAGGCGTGTCCATTTTTGTTTAGCAGTTTCAAAAGTATTGAAGTTATTAAGTAGATTTTTGTAATTCTGTTTTGACTTCTTTAGTTCTGTTTTTTTTAAATATCTTTTAAATATTTCTGATTTTGAATAGCTGTTTGTTTGACAGCCCTTGCTTATATGTTTACACTGGCCGATCTTGTCTCTCTTGTCCTCCAAAATGAAATATGTATAGCATGATCATATTTCATAGTAACTGAGTATTCTGAAGCTATGAGGCGGCTACAAGAGCAGAGAAGCGAGCGTCTGAACAGCAGAGTCAGAAAGGGTGGGGGAGGCAAAAAAGTTGTTTGAACTTTTTTCAAACACTAGATGGAGACATGGCTACACGCATGAAGTGTGATGTAACTGGGATTTTCTTTCTCCTCAGCTCTACAGTAGCGCAACCCTCTGAGATGCCTCCGTCTCCTCTGGTGTGGGAGTAGCTGATGATGACGAGGAAGAAGACGATGACGAAGACGAAGTGGGTGGTGGTTACCCTTTCAGCGGTCCCCTCCGCGCAAACACCCCGCGCAACCCTGGACTACTGACGCCCAGGCATCCCCAAAAACCTGCGTAGCATTTCACTGGAGTCTAGCACTAGCAAAAGTTGCTGATGAGTGTACTGTAATACTAACTAAAAATGAAGTTCTAAAGAACCAACCACTGCTGTTCGGGTCAAGGAGGGACACAGGGAGGGAGGGGGAGGGGGTGGGGTGTTAACGTACAGTAGAAGTATTCCCACTAGTATGTAGGTATACAGAGGTGTGAGAGAAGTGCACATGCGCACGTATATATATATATACACACGCACGCGTGCGAGTGCAGCCGGACGAAGACGGCCTGCATGGACTCCGTGTGGTGAAGTGGTCAGGGCGGCGTCCCTGAAGGAAGGCTCTTTCTGTTCATCCACTCATGCTTTATTTATTCAGTAATAGAGGGAACGCCTGCAATTTCTCCACATCGCATGGAGGCACCACGGCACTCTCCACCTCCACCTCTCTCTCTCCCTCTCACTCTCTTTGTCTCTCGCTCTTTCCCATGCCTAACCTTTCCCTCAGAACTGTCCTGCATTTTGTCCAGCTTGGGTCGCTGTTAATTTATTTAATTTTCAGCCGTAGTGTCAAATAAATTTTATAGCGTTTGTTTATTTTATTTTAGGTTTTACATCCTTCTCATTCTTTACTTTCTCTTAGAAATCTCATAAATCAGTATTTGCAGACTTGTGTGACAGTGCAGAGATACTGATGGCAAGGCCACATGTAAGACTGCTGACCGTGGTGGGCATGCTGGGCTGGTGGTCCTGTCAGTATTTCGGCCAGTTTGTACTGAAAGGTAATGCAAAAGCACGGCCAGGCTTAAACCGCCAGGACCCTAATCATGATGACTGAATGGGACAAAAGACAGGGCCACCACAGGCCTATATACCCCACCTCCCCCCCATTTAAGCATTGGGGGCAAGAGAGTGATGTGGCCTGTAGAATGAGGGACCCACAGTTAAGATCTGAGGAGATCTCTGGAGCGTCCTACAGGCCCACACTGGAGTTCATTAGAAAAGTGGGGTAAAAAAAGCATGAGGAGGCATCTCACGTAATATTCAGCTGCCATCCTAATATAATATGACTGAGCACTCCAATGCCAGTCATGGCTTAACGAAAAAATAAATAAATAAATAAAAACAGCTACTATAGAAGGAATATGGAAGTTTGCTTATTTATGAACCCGTACAGTATACAAATGAACCAAACCTAAATCGAAAAGACTGAACCGAAGACATCAGAAGGAGATAACGTGATGCGATAAACAGCCATTCCGTGATAACGAACATATATTCCCAAAACTTGTTCTTTAAAAAGACGAGTGCACCATTGTGTGAGTGAATGTGCATGTATGAATCCAAAGCATGTTTCTGGACTGGCCATGGAGTCACTATGGCGATTGCCATGGAACCTCAGTTCCACGTTCCCAACCCTCTAGGCCCTTCCTGCGCTTTTTTTTTTGTTGTTGTTTTTTGTTTTGTTTTTCCTGAAGAAAGCAGGGAGGGATGATTAGTTTATGAAAGCAAATAGTCATTCGAGCAAATGAGTAGTTTCACTTACATATGTTTCACACTGTCTGTACCGCAATCTCTCCGAAAAAAAAGGAAAAAAAACCTCTTAAAATGAAAATATTTAATATATTTTTAGATGACTATTTTTATTTCTTCCTTAATGTGCTATGGCATGCTTTCTCATGATCCACTGAATATGGTATGTAAATAAGTGAGTAGTTGATAGATTTCAATGGAAAATAAAACTACAGTGAAGCAAAAGATGTGCCGTAAAAAAAAACAACAAAACAAAAACAAAAAAAAAAACAACAAAATAAATAAAAATAATAATAAAATCACAAGACAATACTGCTGTACAGAGGTTGAATTAGCCTGCACATTTTTAGGGCTGTGAAATTTGATTTTATTTTTTATTTTTTGCATATAATTGTAAATATTTTTTTTCTTTTTTTTTTCTTTTTTTTCGAGTTTTTGTTTTTCCCTGCACTAAAAGTGTAGATAAAGACGTAATCCAAAACAGTATGATTATGGAAACAAACAACACATAACCAATTATGTTAATTGTGTCTTGTGTGTACTGCAGAAAAAGAGCTGTGGATATGAGTAGTCTAATGAAGTAGAACCCTTTATTATTATTATTATTATTATTATTATTATTATTATTTCATTTACTTTAAAGAAACACTGAACTCGTTGTGTATATGTATATAATGAATTCACATTGTTGGTCTCTACCTCTGGAGCTCAATGACTTGGTTGTTTACCTCCACACGTTTTTAATTTAATGTGGAGATTTAAAACTTGAATGTCCCTTCCAACTTTTATATTCCTATAAAACCCTGTGCAAAAAATGACAAAAAAAAAAAAAAATCATTCAAATTGCAATTAGTTGGAGGTGGGCCCATCATATCCTTGTACAAAATTCCATATTCCCACGTATTCCCAACTCAGTGTTTTTCCGACTGTTAGATCACACCAGTCATTTTTTGTCATGCCAGAAGACCCACATTGATCGACATGGTTGGTGTCCTTCACTGAAAGATGTCGCATTCGAATCAGAAGTCCAAACCCATGGCGATGCTAAAATATAAGAGCGAGTGCAGCCTATTGAAGATAACCACGCAAAATTAAACAGAGTGTTGGCGAAAAAGAGACTAACCTGTAACTTCTGTTGGGCCAATTTGAAAAGGTACTACTCATGCTGTCAAAGGTTTTTATAAGACATTTGAAGTTTATACTCAGAGGTAATGGTATTTGCATACATTTTACGACATATATGATTATAATAAGAAGATAGCTTTCGATGGCCTGAAAAACAGAGGTGGTGATTCAGAGGAACCGGGAGGGTTCTAGATGTATTATGTGTTTGAAAAAAGCGGCCGGTCTCTTTTCAAAGTGTAGATTTGAAGTACAGTGGTGAAGCTCATTAAATAAATGTTGACATTTATGGAAATGAAAACATTTTTTACTTGTGTTTTTTTTTCTCTGCTGCTGTTCATAAACTTAATAGCTTACTTGATCTTTATCTGACGCTGGGAATGAACCAGGATTATGTCTTGTCTAATGGGGGTATTAATTAAGTTGAGTGTTTCCCTGCTTTTTGAGCAGAGCCAGCACTTCTGTGTACTTTTCCATTCATTATGCTAAGTAGCTCTGACACTATCTCCAAACTGGGAGCAGAAAACTGGTATCGATTTATGAAGCCGGCTGTGGAGACATAAAAACAAGTGTAACAAGTAGTTACATTTGGAACTGTTCTACATAAACTTTGCATATTTCTTTTGTAAAACAAACCAAAAAAAACATATATAGATCACTCTAGGACAGTAGGAAGCTGACTTTGGCCCTGACCATCAGGGTGAAGTTGAACCATAGAAGTTTGGCACAAAATGGCACAATCCAGAACGGTCCAGTGTCCAGTGATATTTTCAATATTGTTGATGCTAACAGGTTGGGAAAGGGACAGGAAAGCCCTGGAATGCCACCAAACTACAGTCAGAGCTATATACAGTCTTGTGCATAAGTTTTGGCACCCCTGGTCAAATGATATGTTGATTTTCTAAGTGAAAACTTTTACTTTGAAAATCAACAAAGCATGAAATTTGACCAGGGGTTTTCAAAATGTTGCCTACAACTGCACATACAGAGATACATCGGGTACAATTTTATTCAGTCTAAGCCAATATGCATTTGACTCATTTTGATCCCTACCATTTGAGTGATGTTAGCAGTCCACTACTTTTAGAAGCACGAAGAAGCACTTTTATAAACTTTAAGAAAGACCTCTTCATTCATGGTAATGTTTGATACTTAAGGGACTTCTAGACGCTGAGTAATAATGTAATTTGTGATAAAGTTGAAAGGTTATGATAAAATGAGCTGTTGCCAAATGAAAAACGATCTAAAAAGGTTTTGGATGGAGTTTGATACTGGCAGTAACTATGAAGCCATTAGACATGTTTTCAGGTTCATCGGGCAAAGAGGAAACTTACATTTACATGGAGAAATGATATTCACACATTTTAGAAATACACTGCTGGGAAAAAAAGTACATCCTATGCAAGGTGTTCTTCAACATACATGTTGTAAATGTAAACCATGGATAAATTACGTTGTGTAAAGGAAATGCTAAAAATGTAAAATGAAAAATGTGAACAAATTTGAAGTAAGTGAAGCACATTAATCTAATTTCAGAAAACGACTGAAATGGAATTCGTCTCAGATGTGAAAGAAGCACAACATACCTGCATATAAACTTTGCTTAACTTAAAGTAATTGAAACTGGTTCTCTGGGAGCTGGGAGAAATTCAGCATCTTATGTGTGAACAACTATTTAAAAACTGACAGAACCTATGATGGATTTGGTTGTATTACTGAGGAAGCAGCCCAGTTACAAATACAGCAATAGTGGGCACTAAGATTTAATAAAAATTATTAAATTAATATTACAGTATGTGCTGATTTAATTTTTGGATGGATGGATGGATGGATAGATGGATAGGTAGGTAGGTAGATAGATAGATACATACATACATACATACATACATACATTGATGGATAGATACATACATAGATACATACATAGATAGATAGATACATACATAGATAGATAGATACATACATACATACATACATAGATGGATAGATACATACATACATACATAGATGGATAGATACATACATAGATAGATAGATAGATAGATAGATAGATAGATAGATAGATAGATACTTACTTGCTTACTTATTTACTTACTTTATTGATCCCGAAGGAAATTTAGCAAATGCTTCTTTTTATGCAGACATGCACAAAATCATACAGATACAGAAAGGCAGATACATTGTTACTGAAGTACAAATAAAAATATTAATTTCTATATATTATGAATATTTTCAACACGGCAGAAAAGCCACTTAAAAATCCACTGAAATAAAAGGCAGGTCACTCCTAGCCATACACTTTCTCCTTCTGATCAGCACAAGCCCACATTAACTAAACCCATGTCCCAACACATAAAACACAAACACATCTCAAACACAACAAACAACATTAACAACAAATGTCACTTAAAGGGCGAGCGCTACCCATGAGCCTCTTCTTATGGCCCTTTTCGCATTGCATTGCAACTCATTATTTTTGGAGAAAGAAGGGTTTTGCGTATGATCCCAAGAACTCCAAATCCACAGTGAAGTATGGAGGTGGAAGCATCATGATATCACCCAATATGGAGTAACACAGATTTGGTTAAATTGAGCAATTGATGTCATTTTTGGATGTAGTTTGTCACGTATACTTACTACATGCACCAGAGGCAGAGCAAAGAGGTGGCCAGAAGTGGTCACTGCCACCCTAGCAAGAAGCTTGGACACCCTTTTGGCCACCCCGGTTGTGGAAAGAGAGACGGTAAACCATTATCAGTCAGCTATCATTAATAAAGCATCAATTATGCTTTATGGTGAAAATCTGCCATCGGGGCAGTAACCAATCAGTCATAAGAGTCTGACTACTCTGTGTTTAATAATTATTGTACCTTGCTGTGATCTGTATGGAGCAAACAGGTGAGTGGATGTGCACTGGGTCCCTTCAACAGTGCTGTTCTATGAGCTAAATTATAAACTGAAAACTGTGCAATGGTAAGATAACTATCATAAATTAATCAGCTGTAATTGTTTATGATATTAAAATTACTTTTTACAGTTGAAAACATCCATAGCTTTCCTTATACAGTGCTGTCTGACTCTTTTTTGATCATTAGACTCATACATAACCTGTAGCGAGGGCAGCCTAAATTAATAACGTAATTAATAAGCATAAAAAAAGTAAATGTCAAATCTGTAAAATGCAAAAGTGATGGACAGATGTACTTATATACACTAACACTATTTTAGTCTTATGTTATGTAACTCTATTTTTTTCCTAGTAGTGTGCCACCCCAGTATAATCTCTGGGTCTTGCCTGGGCACCCCATTCTAAAGTTTCTAGCTGCACCCCTGACATGCATCAAGATGTGTGCATAAAAAATTGGACAGCAGCCCACTTCTGGTTTTCTTGCCCAGTGTGTATTTACCTGTGGTTACAGAGGCTATAAATATGTCAGCATATTCCCACACTTACATAACTTGTAATATCTGAGAGGACAGGTGAAGCATTTGTTCCTTCCCATTGTGCTTTCATAACACATATACATAATTACACTAGGGGAACATAGTCTTTACAGCAGGGGCCGGATGCACCAGCAGGTCTTAAGTAAGATGGTCTGAACTTTTAGGAAGTACTTGTACTAACCAAAGTAACTCCCAGGCACAAGACTGGCCTTAGTGATACGTATTAGTGTGAAACATACAGTCACTGAGCTCTTTGTTAGGTACATCTACCTTGTATCTACATTTATTTCCCATTTTATTAACTCCACTTACCACATAGGTGCACTTTGTAGTTCTACAATTGCATAATGTTATCCCACCTTTACTCTGTTCTTCAATGGTCAGGACCCCCACAGGACCCCAACACAGTAGATATTATTTGGATGGTGGATCATTCCCAGCACTGCACTAACACTGACGTGGTGGTAGTGTGTTAGTGTGTGTTGTGCTGGTACAAGTGGATCAGACACAGCAGTGCTGCTGGACTTTTTAAACACTGTGTCCACTCACTGTCCACTCTATTGGACACATCTATCTTGGTCTACCTTGTAGAGGTAAAGTCAGAGACAGTAGTTCATCTGTTGCTGCACAGTTTGTGTTGGTCATCCTCTAGCCCTTCATCAGTGGTCACAGGATGCTGTTGGCTGGATATTTTTGGTTGGTGGACTTTTCTCAGTCCAGCAGTGACACTGAGGTGTTTAAAAACTCCATCAGCAATGCTGTGTCTGATCCACTCGTACTAGCACAACAGCAGGGGAACAAGGGACCACCACCTGAGTGCCAAGACAGAAAAGAGTCTTGATGCTTGCTTTCCATGCATTTTGAAGGATGGAGGGTCAAGCCAAGCTGTACTTGAAGCTCAAAGGGCTCAAGGTACAGATAGGTAGGAAGGGGCTGGTCCATTTTAGGCTTTGTAGGCAAGTGTCAAAATTTTCAGTCTGATTTGGGCAGCTAGAGGAAACCAGCTACAGGGATAACAGCAGTGGAGTAACATGAGTGAAACCTTGACTGACAGTTCACATAGTTTTCTGCTGATCTTAATTGCATGTGGCAGGTTCGTGCGAAGAAGATGGATGCTTTGTGTTTTCTTTTTCCTGCCTGTAGTCATGCTGGAAATCTGCCAAACACTTGACAGTATATGTTCATCATTGCATTCTCAAGTCATTTGTAATTGTTCCTGTACAAAACCTGTCCTGTTTACTAACTTCGTTTCATCAGAGGATTTGAACTGGAAACAGTTGCTTCTTGCATTGGTTAGTTTTGCAAATTCTTTTGAATTGACACTTTTCTGCTAATTTTAGTGCACAAATTCTATTTATTTGCTGAACATTTGAATTTAATGCATTAAAAAAAAACATAAAATATAAAATATGCCATAACTTTTTTTCAAAGCTGTAAACTTTTTTAAATTGGCAACGTTTATCTAACACTGTCAGCTTTTATTTATAGATGTCTAATTTTTATTCAAAGCTGTCAACTTTTTTTCAAGTGCTTTTATTTAAAGATGTTTTGTTTTATTTAAAGATATCTTGCATTATTTGAAGATGTCAGATTTTATTTAGAGATCTGTCTTTTTTGTAGATGTTTTTTGAAGATGTTGACTTTTCTTTGACAGCTTCTTTGTTTTTATAACCATTTGTTTTCATTTTAAAATATTTGCTATTATTTTAATTGGTATTCCCTTTTGGTAAAAGTAGTTTTGGTCTTCAGTGCCACCGTAATAATGATCCCATCCACTTGGATTTCAGTTATATACTTTTTTTTGGTTTGTCTGCTCAAGCTTCCTACAAATACATTATTAGATTCACGTAGCCAGTTAGAGATTCTTTTATCGGCCGTTGTCCATTATTGCAAGGTTATATTATGTACCTCACTGTAAGGTTGATGTTTTGTAGAGCACGGATGGCAAAGACCGGTCCTGCAGGACTGGAGTCAGTTTGGTGAATTTCCTGCTCAAACACACCTGATTTAACTCAGCAGTTAATCATCAGGTTTAGTTGAAGCGTTAAGAACAGCAAAGTCAAACTGTCCCCTATGAAAGACTTTAAAAATGTAATATATATTTTAGATACATTTACAAAAATATATGTGTAATTGATGTGACATTTTAAGATATAACTGTGCCATTTTGAATATTTTAATATGTATCAATATATGAACACATGTCAGTGTAAAAATATGTTTTAGGCCAAAATCGTAGCTCAAAACTGTCATAGAATAATGCATTTGGGCCTCAGGCACTGTATTTACAACCATTTAGTGTAATAACTTTTTTGTGATTGAGGTTTAAATGCGTAAAAATGTTTAAAACGGCTGGTTCCTATCACCGCTGCTGTGAGCTATTCTCAAGAAAGGCTCATTTGAGATCAAAACACTCTGAATAATTTTGGTTACATTTTTGATGCTTTAACAAAAGAAATTCTGAAAATGTATCCAAGAAATCTCTAACTTTTTAAAACTGGCTCTTTCATTTAACAAATAAGGACGTGCTCCTTTTACTCTTTTAATTATGGGATTTTACAGAGGCTTTTAATTTGAAATATGACTGGGCCAGCTGAACACAGGAAGTGATTTGCAGTTCTGTGCTAGTGCACAGTTTAAACAGGTTGTGCACAGAGGTGGGCGCAGATCTCACGGGGGGCTTTAGGTCGTGTTCTTGAGTTATTAAGCAGAGTAAAACAGTTAACGCTGATGAGCTGCACTGACGTCGCTGTAGTGATTCTGCGCTGCTGTGTGATTTAAAACTGAACTCGAGAGGTTTGAGTGAAGGTCAGTGAAGTGAAGTCTCCCCGGGTTAGTCTGAGGATCTGAGGAGATGAGCCCTCTGCCGGGAGCGGAGCTGGTCCGGACTCCGCTGCAGCTCTACCGCTACCTGCTGCGCTGCTGTAAACTCCTGCCCTCAGCGGCCATGCAGAAACACTACAGACACGCAGTGAGGCAGGTAAAGCCGGGTCTCAGCACAGAACCCTCCACAGCTGTCCTCAGCTTATCCGTTTGATATCAACAAACGTCAATAATTAGGCTTGGTAATATAAACATGCATTATAGTGCTACATAATAAAATAGCTTTTAGAGCATTGTTTCTTTCCCCCCCCCCATATGTTGGTTAGTTAGTTATTTATTTAAATAATTGGTTGTCATTATCTAGAACAAATACATATTGGAGAATGCACAAATGAATCACTGATTCAATAAAGGGATGCACAGTTCCAGTGAAGGGGAAGAAGGGACATTTCACAGATAAAACAGTATTCAGGGCCCTGTAAACAAGGTAAACATAGCTTTTTTAACACCAGATTTATGTACATATATTAATTTTACAAAAAAAAGCTCCTATCTTGGGTTTTCATGTAATCACTTACACTTAGGAACCTAATGTGTAACTTTCCTTACATCTTGTATTACAAAATAAAGCCACCCTACAGAGTCACTGATATTCATTAGACATGAAAAGCATGACTTCTCTCCAAAAACATGAAACAAAATGACATTGAAAAAAATAAATGTTCCTGAGTCTCGTGTTGACCTGAGCGGAAAGAGCAGTTAAGGGGTACATTTATAAATGCATCCAGTAAAATATTATGGACATGCGTAAAATTTTCAAGTGTACTTCTCTGACTTTGTTATGTAGAAGAAACCCACTAATGGAATGTCAGGGTTAGAGGTTCTCCAAAATATTGCTGGGATTTATCTTAATGGTCTTGTCGTACAGCATCATTGGGTGTCTCGAAAGACATTTCTATATACAATTCCACTATTATTATTATTATTATTATTATTATTATTAATCCTGCTCCTAGGGACCCACTGTCCTGCAGTTTAAACTAGCCCTTGACCCAACACACTTAAAACAGCCCGAGATGGCTTTATACTCATAATTTGGATTAGGTGTGTTACAGCAAAACTGTTCCACTCACTGGAATTGGATTTTGACACTGCTGGATTTTGACACATGATTCGGCTCTTCAGTATAAAGGAAGGCACCACTAAGTAATTGTAATGCATATGCAGAGAGAGAGAGAGAGAGCTAGTGTACAGGTCTCTGTGCTAACAGCCCTCAATGAGATTAGAGTAGCAGTTTATAGCCAGGCACATTTGCCTTGTGATAACAGACTGTCTTGTTCTGTGCAGAGTTTTAACAGCCATGCAGACGAGGACAACCCGGAAAGAATCAGTATGATTATCCAAAGAGCTATTTCTGATGCTGACTGGATATTAGATAAGGTAGGCATCACTATGATTCATGCATATGTAAAAAGTGGAAGAGTTTTAGGGGTCAAGCCACTGACTGATTAATCTTTGTCCATCTCTTCTTGCAGTATACCAAAAAGAAGTGATTTCCAGCTCAGGATAAAAAGGGTAGCCCGGCTCTGGCAGACGGCGGATCCAAAGCTGGATGAAGGACAGCTCTGAAGATCACGGGGAGATTTTAATGGCTGCTGTTGGCCAGTCCTTCAACGTATTAACATTAGCTCAGAAAATCACATCGGCCAAGGTCATAAAAATTATGTCGTCGCTGTTGGGAGAAAACCTCATATCTCATATGTATTTCATATATGTTCGTCATTTTTCATTTTAAAAATAAATTTAAATCAAATGCTCCAAAGTAGGGCAGCATGGTGGCGCAGTGGGTAGTGCTGTTGCCTCAAGGATGGCCTGGGTTCGATTCCTGGCTGGGCGACCAGGGTCATTTCTGTGTGGAGTTTGCATGTTCTCCCCGTGTCTGCGTGGGTTTCCTCCGGGTACTCCAGTTTCCTCCCATAGTCCAAAGACATGCAGTCAAGCTGATTGGATATGCTACATTGCCTCTAGGTGTGAGTGTATATGTCTGTCTGTCTGCTCTGCGATGGACTGGCGACCTGTCCAGGGTGTGTCCTGCCTTCTGCCCAATGACAGCTGGGATAGGCTCCAGCACCCCACCGCAACCCAGGATAAGCGGTTTAGATGATGTGTGTGTGTGTGTGCTCCAAATTGACTTGGAATAATGTTTTTTCAATTCTATTAAAATAGATTTTTTTTCCTTTTCCTGTAAAGTCACCTTTTTGGAGATACGAGGATTTGTTGTGGCAGTGACGATATATTGCTTACTGACCAACTGAACAATTGTTCAGAATTTCACGCACAATTTATTTAGACTGCCTTGTATGTCTTTAAACACTTTGTGAACTTTTAATTTTTCAAGCACTGATCAAAGCTTAAGCTAAAATGTTGGTCGCACTTTATTTTGATGGTCCCCTATAGACTGAATCTCTACAAAGCCTCTACAGTGGACCTTTAAAAAATAGTGTTAACAAAATGTTTACTTAAGCATGTTTTCCTCAGCGCTTATTGTACTTATGCAAAACATGTTTTTTCTTTATAGAACAAGGTAATACCTCAATATTTAACCATTAAAAAGTGATTCTTTAAAGTAAAGACTGATTATATATAGAACCATGTGCACTCAAATAACCATTGAAAGCAAAAATGCTTCTTTTGTGATAGAAAACCTGTTGTGTATGGTTCTTTAAATCTTTTAAAAATGGTTCTGTATAGTGCCAAAAAAAGCTTAATCTGTTGTTATAATCATACTGTGTAGAACTGTTTCCGCTAAAAATGTAGGGCAAAAGGAAAGAAGACTGCGGAATCATGAGCCTGGTTGATACATATTGTAATGAATTAAGCTTGTTTCCCCCAGGAAGATACATTTATTGCCCTCAGAACCATCTACCCACAGGCTTATAGACCACTCAGATCTTGGTTGTTGGTGAAAAAACTCTAAACATGCTACTAAATTTCATCCAATGAACTCTTAGTAAAAAATTTCAGTGACGTTGTTGTGTGGTTATAAAAGATTTGCTCGTGTGATGTGGTTATAAAAGATTTATGCAAGTTATGTGTGTTATGTTACACTGTTATCTCCATCACCACAAAATTTCACTTTACCATCATTATTGCTTAAGGTTCCTGTTTTTCTTATTGATTTCTAGAAGGCCTTGGGATCCAGATGAGCACCTGGCTCTGATGAGCTACCTCTAGGGATGCCATATAGGCCGACCCCTGTTCTGTTAGAGTGCCTGTTTCTCTGCTTGTGCAAGAGGCGGTGAGGTCGTGACCCTCCCACCTGTTTAATGGCTTTCTGAGTTGGCTACAGTGAAACTTAACTATAAGCCTAGGCCTGCACTTAGGCCACTGTAGCCTTTAAAAGTTTCTAGTGATAACAAAAACATGGTGTAGTTATTTCTCACTCACTGCGCCTTCTTTGCACCACAAGCTGATAAACTATTGAAAGCGGGATTCTAAAGCTCCAGTCAGAACCACATTTGTGTTTGTAAGTAGAAGAGGTGCTATTTTATTACCTGCAATCATAGCCAACAATAAAATAAACTGGGTACTTTGAATAGCTAAGTTGCTGACATTGCTTTTTTACTTTTTTTCTGAAAAGATGTTCATTTTCTGCCTAAGCAGACATCAGTATTACATGCTCTCCTGTTGTCAGTGCTCCACTGATGGTTTTTAAAGAGTAATGACTCCCCCATTGTTTCAGATGTCTCAACTTCTGTTTCATCTTTGAAAAATGATGAGGACACTTTCGGAGTGAAAGAGTGTGGGCACAGCCATCAGAGAATGGAATCCTACTCAGTCACTATCACCTTAATTTGACTGTCTTTCGAAAGTAGCCTGTAATCGTAAATACAGTGTAATGCCATTGACTTGCCATTATACTTGATTTCTTGTAGTCTCGGCACACGTTCACAAACAGAAACCTACCAGAATGAAAATGATGAGCACAAAAGAAATGTTGCATTTCAATAAGGCTGATGTGGTTTATTATTGCAAAGCAATGCATTTCAATTTTAATGGAAAACAAATGGCTTCAGAGGGTAAATAAATGAACATTGATTACTGAAATTCTAATTGACTGTCCTGGATAATCGCAGGATATGCCGATCAACTGTGTTCAGTTAACTGTTGTTAAAAGTTAATTTTAAGATTTATTAAATATCTTTTCTGGAATACTCTATGGATGCTAATTATAGTCAAAACAATGGTGACACTAGGCACATATCTGCCCTTCATCTTACAAATGAACTTGATGCATTTAAAAAAACTTTGTTTTGTTTCTATATAGCACCAAAAAGGGTCCCATGCTTGTTACAGGTCATACTATACAGCTGTTTTTGCTAAGAGTGCAGGGCAAAATAAAAGATATAGAACATACAAAAGATAAAATGATAAATTCACAGGAACTTTTTTTATTTTTAATGTAAGTGTAACCAGACTTTTTTCCAAGTCATTTTGGGTCATTTCTTTTGGTCCATTCATCATGAAACTTGCGCACAATGTAAAGAGCAGCAGGCCTTTCCAAATAATGTCAAAAGCTGAAAAACTGCAAAAATGGAGATATGAGGTTTTTGAATCGGCTGAATTTCCCTTTAAGTGAATACTGTGATGAGACTACACAAATGTTGTAAATAACAGATATACAGTATGGAGAGTACCTATCATGTGAATGTTAACTGATAGAAAGACATACAGCTGCATATATAATATCTACATAAACAATTAAGAAGATAGAATCTTTCAGAGAAAGAAACCACAGATCACATTCTGCTCTGCGCATCACCTGAACAGTACAGGCGATAACGGCTGTATTTGAAAAAGATTCATATGATCATTTGTTAAGCTGTAAGTGATGTGTTCATGTACGAGGCTGTTTGATCTTGCGGTCAGAGGTTTGTCTATTAATTCCTGGAAAGAACATACAGGCCTTCATCTTCCTCCCTGTTATGAAATCTGTGGTTTTACTGTTTACTGTATCTGCTGCCTGAGTTGTTTGCTTTAGGTATTGTTTATTTATTTATTTATTTATTTACAGTTTGTCTTTCATCATATGTGCTTTTACTAGGTGTGCTACCTGGACGGCATATTCTGCAGGTGGAACTTCAAACTGACAAAGCAAATCTACAAAAATGTTTTTGAGTCTTGAGGAGCATTTGGATCTCATTAGCCACAGTAATTTGTTCCTAAACACATTCAAAATATTAATATGCAGTTTAAGCAGTAATTACTCTTCAACAAAAAGAGCAACAGTGATCTGTTGCTTGACACATACTGAGCCCACATTCATCTATACTGTTAAATCTTGCTGGTTACTCATGTTGCTTTGTCTTCTCCCTCAGTCAGTATAGCTTTTAAACAGTAGTATATATACATTATCACCTAATGGTGCCACGCTTGATAGTGAAGCTTCCAAGCATGTGTCAAAAATTAACAGACATTACTTTGATTTTATGCACTATTTCATGGGTGCGGCTGACAGTCAAACCTACTAATTAGAAGTGTCCATATACTTTTGGCCATGCACCATATGTCCTGGATAGTGCTGAATGGTGTGCTACTGTGGGATGAAGGTGTTCTGGTTAACATGTCTAATCCTGGTTCTACACGTCAGTGTTGCCTCCTCTCATGCTTGGCCATGTCCTGCATTGTTACATTAAAGAGGAATTCCACCAAAATACAACGGTTAAGATGTCTACAACACAAATGTTTTATTTCCTGTCCAAAATGACCGTTGAACCTACACGTCTTCAGAGTTTGGTAACCATATGTCAGTATTTCGTGTAATAGCTTTCTGTGAGGGAGCTTTTAGAGTTGGATGTCTGGTTCCTATCACCAACACTGTGACCAATTCTGACTATAAGTTTCTGCACGACAGATCATTTTACATCAGATAACTCTGAATGACTGTTTACATCATAACCATTTAATTATGCAACAAATCTGAATCAGCAGAATTCCTCTTCAAGTGAAAACTGTGATGAGACTATACAAATGTTGTAAATAACAGAGACACAATATGGAGAGTACATATGTGAATGTTAACTGATAAAAAGATGGATAGCTACACAGATAATTAGGAAGATAGAATCTTCCAAAGCAAATAACCACAGGCCACATTCTCCTCCGCATATCACCTGAACAGTACAGGTTGTAACGCCTATGTTTGCAAAAGATGCATATCAATCATTCATTAAGCTGTCAGTTATGTGTTTGTTCACATCAATAGGCTGTTGGATCTTGCATTCGGAGATTAATCTAGGTCCTCATCTTCCTCTCTGTTAAGAAAACTGTGGCTGTGGTTTTGCTGCACCTGCTGAGCTATTTTTTGCTTTAGGCTTTTTTTGTTTTGTTTTTTTTTAAAAAGTTTGTTGACTATTAATCTGTCATCATATGTGCTTTGATGAGGTGTGCTATGTGCAGGTCATGTTCTGCAGCTGGAACAGACAGTGATATAGTAGCCCCAAAATGTATTTGGACATTTAAACTCTTGTTAAACTTTAATGAAGTTCTTTAGGTTACTTCATAAAAAGTTTAATAAAATAAAATGTGTGTTACAGAAAAACACTTTTAGGTATTATTTACTTATTTGTTTATTTATTTATTATTATTATTATTGTTTTTTTTACAGTTTTTTGATTTCTTTAATCTTTCATCATATGTGCTTTTGCTAGGTGTGCTACCTGGACGGCATATTCTGCAGGTGGAACTTCAAACTGACAAAGCAAATCTACAAAAATGTTTTTGAGTCTTGAGGAGCATTTGGATCTCATTAGCCACAGTAATTTGTTCCTAAACACATTCAAAATATTAATATGCAGTTTAAGCAGTAATTACTCTTCAACAAAAAGAGCAACAGTGATCTGTTGCTTGACACATACTGAGCCCACATTCATCTATACTGTTAAATCTTGCTGGTTACTCATGTTGCTTTGTCTTCTCCCTCAGTCAGTATTTTACCTGTCAGCTTCATCACATATTTCTAAGATATAACAGCTCACTATCGGCCTTTTTATTTGTGTTATATAATACTGCTTATTCATGATTTAAAGGTGTTTATGACCTATTTAATAACTGTAATAAACTAATTTTAAACCTTTCATAAACCCTATAACCCTAGATTTCTACAAATTGTTGAAAGCCTATAGAACACTAGCTTCATAATACACGCACATGTATTTACAACAACATTGGTTTATATTATTGAAAACTGTGATTCCAAGCTTTTAAACAGTAGTATATATACATTATCACCTAATGGTGCCACGCTTGATAGTGAAGCTTCCAAGCATGTGTCAAAAATTAACAGACATTACTTTGATTTTATGCACTATTTCATGGGTGCGGCTGACAGTCAAACCTACTAATTAGAAGTGTCCATATACTTTTGGCCATGCACCATATGTCCTGGATAGTGCTGAATGGTGTTCTACTGTGGGATGAGGGTGTTCTGGTTAACATGTCTAATCCTGGTTCTACATGTCAGTGTTGCCTCCTCTCATGCTTGGCCATGTCCTGCATTGTTACATTAAAGAGGAATTCCACCAAAATACAACGGTTAAGATGTCTACAACACAAATGTTTTATTTCCTGTCCAAAATGACTGTTGAACCTACACGTCTTCAGAGTTTGGTAACCATATGTCAGTATGTTGTGTAATAGCTTTCTGTGAGGGAGCTTTTAGAGTTGGATGTCTGGTTCCTATCACCAACACTGTGACCAATTCTGACTATAAGTTTCTGCACGACAGATCATTTTACATCAGATAACTCTGAATGACTGTTTACATCATAACCATTTAATTATGCAACAAATCTGAATCGGCAGAATTCCTCTTTAAGTAAAAACTGTGATGAGACTACACAAATGTTGTAAATAACAGAGACACAATATGGAGAGTACATATGTGAATGTTAACTGATAAAAAGATGGATAGCTACACAGATAATTAGGAAGATAGAATCTTCCAAAGCAAATAACCACAGGCCACATTCTCCTCCGCATATCACCTGAACAGTACAGGTTGTACTGTTGTAATGTTTGCAAAAGATGCATATCAATCATTCATTAAGCTGTCAGTTATGTGTTTGTTCACATCAATAGGCTGTTGGATCTTGCATTCAGAGATTAATCTAAAAATTCCTAGAATAACACAGAGGCCCTCATCTTCCTCTCTGTTACGAAAACTGTGGCTGTGGTTTTGCTGCACCTGCTGAGCTGTTTTTTTTGCTTTAGGCTTTTTTTGTTTTGTTTTTTGTCTAAGTTTGTTGACTATTAATCTGTCATCATATGTGCTTTGATGAGGTGTGCTACGATAGCACAATATCAAACTGATGGCAGACTCTTTATACAGCGCCCTCAACAATTATTGGCACCCCTCGTTAAGATGTGTTCTTAGGCTTCTAATAAATTCTTTTTTAAAAAAAAAACAATATAGGACAACAATGCAAAAAAAGAGAAAAATCTAACCTTTAATTCAAGTGCATTTATTCAGTGGGAAAAAAATCCCACATTAAGAAATAATTCTTTTACATGAAATCGTCTGTGCCACAAT